CGATCTCTTGCTTCGCGGACTCGCTTTATAGTAGTACACAACACATATCGAATATTGCGTTCGCGGAAAGATCGCGTTCGACTTTCGATGGTCGAACGATGACGTCAAAAAACCTTGCCCATTCTGAGCTCTGCAGCAAAGCAAAGCAACACGTGCATCTTCCGTCTAATAAATGCGGACAGTTTGTTTATCCATTTCTATTCTGAAAATTTTCTTTACAGCATTTCGAACGCAGTTCCTTCATACCACATTCTAATATATAATTTATAATTTTATTATATAATTTTTTACACAATTAGCCAACATCAATCTGGGTACCTATTACTTGTATTATTTCTAATATAATAATGTATTGTTACTAATGTAAAATATTAATATGTATGTAGTAATGTCACTAATATCGCTACTAGATGTCCACTATTTTGAAAACGACACGAATGGATTTCGAATCATACGTAGCACAAACAATTTTAAGATGGAACTTATTGATGCCTACTGATTTACATATATGTAAAATAATATGCATAAATGTATAAATGAATACGAGTCTGATGAATATATTTCTATTGGCAGTAAACGTGTAACCATGAACTGAGAAGCATTGTCATGCAGATTCGTTACGATTAAAATAAATGTTAAACATTAAAGTAGCGTAAATCTATAAATCATATGACTACGATTATTCTTGGCTCGGAAACTGAAGCAAAATGATACATAATTAATGTAAAGTATTTCTTCTCAAACGTTTTAAAGTTAGGTCCGCGAGGGCCGATCAGGGAAAAATAGTGTAATAGAAATCCCATTGCTATTTCACACCGAAATGGGATATATTCCATACGATGTTTAAAAGTAGAGAGAAAAAGATGTATACCTTAATATAATTCTTTATAAGATGTATTGTTAATTTGAAGTTAAAAAGGACCAACTGAACCTTTATCTTGGCAAAGGCGTAAACAATAAAAATAGTAAATAGCAAATAAAACAGTAAATTAAACTGAAAAAAGCAAAATTACCAGGACCAAGTTAAATATATAACTTTCTAACTCCTTGACAAAATACCAGATCAACATTATATACATTGCTTTAAATTTATATTTTGCATTGGTTGAATAATGTAGCTATTATTTCGTTAATCCCCTTCAAGATTAAAAATAAGTCATTAAACCGTCATTAGACATTTCACTCAATGCAGATATATTGCAGCAACGTTTCGAAAGTTACTTGATATCATATTTGAAACCTATAATCTGATAGAACGACTGCTTGATATCCAGCTGATCAATGTGGCCCGGAACCAACACTTGCTAATCTACGTTCTTACCACGGTCCATAGCCAAGCTCAATATAAATAATGATAAAACAAAATTTATTTTCAGTCAGCAGATCGTACAGCTAACAATATTACTTCGTTGATCATATATAGTAGGTTCAGCATAATACTTTTCTTCGGTATCAAAAATTTTCGGATTTACATCATAAAAATTATCTAAAATATGTGTTCTCAGTTTATTATGACAACTCTTATCCTCACAGTTCCTGTGTGTGTCCTATTCTCGAGATTTGCATCGCCATAATAAAAATATTTCAGATTCAGAAAAAGAAACAGATACGCATAATTTTCAGAATCAAATGATGTGAATGAGTTTGAAGTTTAAACATTTATTATTATCGATTATGACTTGTTTATAAATAAATAAATAAACACATTCATATCCTTAATATTTAAAGAATTTTAATCGTTCTTTCGTTTTGTAATGTAAATTTAGGGTAAAAATATTTAGTTACTGTGCGTAATTAATTTTTAAATCTAACTCGCTGAATATACAGACAAGGATTCGACATAAACAAATTATACCGCATATTAATAAAATAAAATAGATTGATCTAATAATTACTAATATTTCCTAACTAATTTCGCTTAAAGGTAATCGTAGCGACCGGTTTTAACACTAATATAAAGAAGGAAATAAAATAAATTTAATTGTAGTACACGATATGACGAGCTACACATATGTGAAAAAATATAAAAACTTACCTAGTTTTTGAACTGAACGTTTTGGTAACTGCATTACAGGAAAATAAGTTCAACAGCTCTCCCTGTAAAAAAATAGGTGTTATGTACATGAATTACATATACATAAGCACAAAAATAAGGAATATATTTAATGCACAACTTCCTTGGATGAATATCCACCTATCCTAACATACGCAGATCTACCTAGTTATGAAATGCCAGGTATCTAAAGTTACAAGCGATTAAGAATTCTCGTAATAATTATTTTTTGGGCAAATTTCGAAGAACAAAAACCGTAGACAAAAAATATTTCACAAGAAATAGTCATCATCGCCGTTAAGTATAAACATTCATCTGACAATTAACAGAAATAGATCACAACAAGTAAATACAATTAAATAATGAATATTTCAAATAAATTATATAAAATTAGAAACTTTCTAGTTTTTACCGCTACGTCGAGATAATGTTTGATAGTTTAAATTTCTAGAAATTTAAAGTAATTATTGCAACAATCTTCACTATAACTTTTAAAGAAACAAAAATGCAATGTTTAACGCACGTTAGTGTCAATCAACATGTAAGTGTACATATTCACGCGAAAATAAATCTTCAGTACATATACAGAAACCAAAGAACAAATTTGTGCATATTGTACAAGTTTTAGTTAAACGCTTACAAAATAATGTACATATCTCTTCGAAATATATGAAATTACTCAAACAATAAGCAATTTAACAAAGGGACTAGATCATTCTACTAATGCAGAAAATATGAAAGTTACTTACACGGACTTACATACACCTATGAGTCTCAACGTCAGATAACTTCTGAGATGAATTGCATCATATAATATTTTTTGAAAATTAAAAGTTCCCGTTTACTTGAAATAACCCGAGCAGAAAGGCACAAACGCGTGGATAAGTAGAATCGCTCGATTTCTTTACATTTCTTTACATTTACTTAGATTATCTAGTCATTCAATACTTCTCAAAACTTTAATTATCTCAACAATAATAGCATTAAAAGAACGTCGAAAGTTTCTGATTAAACCTAAATAAACCTAAACTAAACCTACACTAAACCTAATTTCATTCGCACAACAAAAAAATTTTATCATAATTTACCTCAAAACAATTAAATTCTATTTTTTAAAATGCAACATCCGTTTTTAGCTAAATAAATATACCTCTAGTTGATTGCTTATGTATAATGTTAAAAGTACACAAGTACGCATACAAAAACAGATTACTGTTATCGTATACGTACCTTTAATCATTCTTGAATGTAACCATCAAATGTATTCTGCAAAGAAGATCTCTCCAACTCTATCCAAATCTGCAAAAAAAAATAATTTTCCAAAAATTGAAATCTTAGAAATTTAAAAGTTGCTGACTTGAATTAGCGGTGCTTCACTATGCATTGATTGATTAGCACTATGTTAAACAGTTTTAAATAACAAAAATATAACGTTTACAAAACATTTGATAACAGTAAATTAAACTTCATTCCATAAATTTTCAATTTTTATACTTAAAAATACCATCTGCCCAAAATTCGTTATCGGCAAAATAAATATCGATGATTCAAGAATAAACAGATATATCAGCTCTATTTCGGATAAATACTCATATGCATACATGAAAATATAATTGCAAATAAATGTAAAAAATTGATCATTAAATCGATTGTAGAAAGCTGTGGGTAAAAAATAAAAGCTATAAAAATGCACTTGAAAAATTATGAATTTTGCATTCGGCTGTGTAAGTCTAACATATCACTCTACTATATTATATTCTAGTT